AAGAAAGGAAATATTTCTTTGGCAGAGAGCTCAGAGAACATGTAGGCAAACCAAGCAAAAAACACATAAATCTGGAAATTAGTCTGTGAAGTGTTTGTAGTCACAGTCAATTTTTGCTAAAACATTCAAATACAAATTACTGAATTGCAGATTTGGTATGCACTACAAGTTTTGTTCATTTATACACAGATCATATGAACATATGCAGAACATGTGCATACACATGTTGCATTTTGTATATAAGGCTGGGATATGGAAGGAGAAGAAAGTTAATTCAGGGAGCTCCTCTCCTACCCACATCCTCTCAACTTCATTTTCCCCTGATCCTGATCATTCAAGAAACCTTAAGAAAGAGCAAACACACATTTCCCCATCCTCTACTCTGTTCTATGATGATGTTCTAATGCTTGGCATTATTATTCACCATACACATTATAGTAAACGATTTACTTTGTCTGCAGCACCACAGCCTTTGTGTGACGTGCCTCCTTTGTAGTTGATGCGAATAAGTCACTGCCTGTGTGTGTCAGCAGGGGCAGCGTTCTCCTGACTGGTATCTTCAAGGAGTGGTGTTGCTTTTTGAGGGCAGCAGCACCAAGGAGAGGCTCTGCAGATTTAGGGGCACCCCAGGAAACAGCAATCACAGTCCCTTCCACTGAAAACCCCCCTCAAGCAGCAACATTTACCAGGTGTTTCCTTGTTGTATTGCAATTGGAAGGCTGGTGAGAGGCTGTGGTCTAGCGTTTCCAATGAGCCACAGCTGAAGATGGGTTCATAAACTCAGCACCCCCTTAACGAGGTGGCAGTGCAGGCTTGTGGATGTGACTGAGCACTAGATCTGTCTGCTTGAGAGCTAAACTGAGATGAGATAAAGTCGCTGCCAACAAATATTCTCCAGCTCTCTGTGCTGTGAGTAAAGTCATCACTGGCTGGGTGTTGTAACCCTTGGTTTCCCAGCAGCTACCTGCAGCGAAGACCAAGTGCACTTTCCCCATGCTTCTTCCTCCTCAGCTGACTGCAGTCTCACATCTCTTGTCATGATGCCTGAAAAACAGTCTCTAGTGATAGGTGGAAGCTGGTTCTTGTTTGCCAGCATAACTGGGCTGAGAAGGCAAGGTCCAGTCCTGTTTCCATGGGACTTGCTGGCTGAAGGTTGTATTCTGCTCCTACCTGCCAGATGTCAGATGCAGGCTTTGTAGCTGCTTTTCCAGTCGTATGGCAAAAGCCTTGAGTCACAGCTGCTTTCCTGAATTTAGATACTGTAGGAGTAGTGTCAGTTCCTAAAGCTAGGTACTGGTCTCAATTAAACACTACGGTTTGGATTTCTCGTTTCTCATATTTGAATAAAAATTTAAGCAAGTGGTAGCTTTTGGTCCATCAGGATAAAATTACTCTGAGTAGACAGCCTTTCATCTAGTTAATATTATCCATTTATATAAATTACTATGGGTTCTCAGTTGCAATTGCTCATTCATTTCTTCTTTCTAAAATGTTCAGATTGTCATTTACATGTACATTTTCCCCTGCATATGAGATTATTGCTAGATGTATTTTATTTTGTGGCTTGGTAGACATATTCACCCCTACCTCTTACCCTAAAATAAACATAAATCACATGACCTGATGTGATTTATGTTTTAAACATAAATCAAAAGACTTGATGCACTGAGGAAACAAGAAGCCATCATCCACTCAAATGTCTGGAGACCTCAGACACGTACACAAACCCATGTCAATCTGCAGACAGAAAGAGAAGGGATAAAGATTGGATTAAGAAGACCTTAAGACATGTCTCCTTAGAATCTCAAGGACATTTTCCTACCCTCTGCCATGTGCTACAATTCAAGGCCTGTGTTTCTTCTGTTTCCTTATGTTACACAGAATGTGACTCTCAGACTTTGAATTCAGAGGATTGTGGCTCTCAATCAATTGCACACAAAGGACTGTCTGAAACCCCAGAGTAAAGAGTACTAAGAAGCCAAGTGTGCACCTACAACTGCTGAAAGGGGATCAGTTGGGTAGGTGTCCTTGGAATATGTTGGATGGATGCAACCTTGCATGAAGTGATGGAAACTGGGACAGGATATTCCGCAAAGTTAGTTGAATGGCTGACATTCCTTACATCTTTGGCTCTATGTCCACATGCCAGTAAAAATCCTGGTGTGGATGGCTTTTAAAAGCAAATTTTTGGTAGAAAACATGCATTGTGTGGCTGAGTTTTGGAGTGTTGCTGAGTAGCTTTAGTATTGGGTTTGGTCACAGTTTTCCTTTCTCTCTGTTCGCTTGGTGACACCTCTTAGACACCCAGTAGTTCAAAAAAAGTGAAGGTCATAGCCCAAGTCAGTATGTTGCCATGTAATATAACTGTGATTTGAGAGAACTTTTTAGCAGTCAGTTATGCTCTATGTTGTGGCACAAAGTGGTAATTTCTCAACATCTCTGCAGGGAGAAGAGCCTTGGTACTCCTGCATAGCTTTAAAATTGTGTACCTCCTGCCTAGCTGCAAAACAGAGACTTTGTGTATCTATAGCTATTTTTTTTTTGTTGTTTTTGTTACTTAGCTCTTGATGTAAACTGTCATACTGGGTTCTTGTGGGATTTTGTGTTGCTTTTTTTGCCAGCCTAAACATTCTCATTCAGTTCTTTTCACAATGCGTCAAATAAAGAGAGTTAATGAAAACCTTACTTTAGATTAGTTACACAGAAGAACAGTAGCATTGATCGTGGACTTGCCTGCAAGGCCCTTCCTATAACCTTCCCAAAGCCTTGAATTCCTCACATGACTTAATCTCTGGAACACCTTTTGCTTTCTTCTGAACATGGTTACATGTGTGGTTTGGGGAACATGAAACAGGTGTGAACAAAACGGGCCTGGGAGATGAAACCTTATTCTGGTTATTTCTGGAAAGGTTTCTGCTGCTCCTTCTCCTTCAGAAATTGTAAATAAAGTAACTTCAAGGCCTGTAGAAAATTTAGGAAGAAGTTGTCCAGTTCTTTCTCCACTTTGGATCCACCCACTAATGCTGCAGATCATCCATAGTTTCCTGTTGATGGTACACCTTGTTAACTGCCTGAAAAAAGGCTTGACCTGCCTCTAAATTAACTTTCCAGAAGAAGAAACCCAGTAGAAAAAAGCCAGAAGACGACAGACCAGATGCTATCGTATTGCTTAACCTGGAAACAGCAAGTAGATGGATTGAACTGGGCAGAGGCTATACATTCACAGCTGTGATGTCTCCTGTGGCCAAATCAGCCTGCTCACTGCTGGTAGGGAGATGTACTGTGTGACAGTCACATCTCTAGCTGCCCATTGATTAGGCCTCTTTCCCCAGATCCATCCAGCTCACCCTCTGTTGTCTTTCTCAATGCTGCTTATGACAGAAATCTCAGCATTCTTGAAAGAAAGAAAAAAATTAAGGTCTCAATCCTAAACATATACAGATTTCCTGATTGCATGACAAATGTACGTCACTAAACTTCTGACCATCTGCCCAGGATTTATTCCTGTAAATAAAAAGCTCTGCACTGCAGAAAAAGCAACAGTTCTGTGTGACTGCCCTGTTCCATTTCACCTGGGTGGGCACACACTTTCATACTTTTCTTTGCACATTTGAACTGCACAGGCCACAAAAATCAAAGGCTTCAAATCCTGCATTGCTCCTGCTCTTGACTGTAAACTTTTGAAACAGTAGGGATTTCAGCCTCCACACTGAAATCTCTTCAAAGGGGAAGACTAATAAAGTACTCATAAAATAAAATACTCTTTTTTTCATTGCTTCTCCATTTCCCTGTACTAACCTTTTTTTAAGAGCATCTCATGGCTATAAACTGGGAAGGGTTTTCTTTAGATTTAAAAAACCTATCTCAAAACATTCTGTGTAAATATAGCATGAGCTTTTCTCTGTCTTTTCTAATAGGATGAACCTCTTTGCCAGCTATGTACTTCCAAATCTTCTTGCTCGCTGTGAAGATTGAGGGAGAAGAATGGGGTCACTGAGGTATATTTGGGCTTCAAGAAAGCCTGCCTTCCCTTCCTCTGTCTTGGGCTAATTTCCTTAAAACAGTAGTTTATCCATTTTATAAATCAGAGATTCAAATCCAGCCCTGAAATTAAAGTTTTAACTAGCAGTTCTGTGCACTCAAATCAGGGTCAAATGTGCATTCTGCAGATATCCCCTTCCTCTGCAGTTGGACAGATGAAACAAGGACTTAATAGGGTTGGAAATGAAATGGCAGGTGATTTCTGTAGACCTCTGTTGGGACAATATTAGATGTTTTCCCTGTGCTGCCCTGTGGACAAATAAAACACCTGTTTCCAGAGCTGTCAATCAAGAACTTCTAGGGTAGGAAATGTGTTTTAGAAAACTTGGGCTGTTGAGATACCATCTGGCTCTTTCTCTGTCAGTATGCTTTATTGCGCAAAACCGGCTCCCAGTACCACCCTGCAAAGCAGCTCCTGCCTTGCAATTCTTTATTAGACAAAGCAGCCTTGGACAGGTGGCATGATGTTTATCCATGGCTGTTCTTCTCAAGAAAAAAGTCTATTTTCCACCCTGATGAGACTTTAGTGTTTTTTGTCTCCGTCTAACCAAGGTGACAAGTTCAACCAAGGTAACAAGTTCAACCAAGGTGACAGCCAGTCAGAGTGAAGGGGTGGAAATGACAGCCCCAAATGAGTTCTGATTACCTGGCAAATACTTGCTTTCCATGAGTAACATATATTCCCACTAACCTTCAAGGACAAGGAAAATGTTTTTGCTAACATCACCATCAACCAGTCAACTGGTATAGCTAGAGATGCAGATTTTTCTTGCAGGGAGGGGCTCCTCTGCAATTGGAAGTTAGTATTATCTGAGCTTAGTTTTGGTATAAAGCCAGCTGCAGAGTAATTTTGGATGGTTCCTCTTTACAGAATCTCAGCCACAATACCTGAAGCAGCTGATTCCATGGGCAGAACCAGCTGAGGAAATGCCTAAACTCTCATAAATTCAATACCACCATAGTTTACAATGATTTTTATTATGAAATTTTATCTCTTCTTCTTCCTTGTTCCCCCTCTTAGTTTATAACAGGCTTCTGGGATGTCCTGGGATTTGTGTGGGTTTTTTTGATGGAACGCCAGGTTCTAACAAAATCCCTCCAGTCTCTATTTTTAATCCTATTTTATGGTCTTCTGTTGCTTCACTCACATTTCCTCTCACAAGCATACCATGTCTTCCCCCTGTGAAATGCAAGTCAGCTTTTAACGTCAGCAATCAGATCTGCAGAGTGTACAAGATTTCCAGCCTCCTCCCCAGACACAACCAGGCTAATCGGTTGGATTCAGTAAGGAGCAGAGATAAAAACAGAAATGCACCAGAGGGTTAATTTCTAATATGGGAACTGGGTTTTTTTTTCTATGGAAAGTTTTATTTAAAAAAAAAAGCGAGGGAAAACTTACCTAGTTAAGTGCATATTACTATCATATTGAGCTATTTCAGTGCAACTACTTGAGGATGAATCTTTTTCTGGCCTGAAGTCCTGGAGCAACCCTTTAAATTCATAGCCTATATTCTTCTAAATTAACTGGTATTTGCAGACAAGCCCTCAGCTAACTTATTCTAAAATTCTAATTCTAAAATTCTAAAATAGACAAACCAGTGTCAACGCCAATGCCCAGGGGCCTAACTCAGCCAGCTTTTCACATTGAAGGCATAATGCCTCGTCTGCATCAGAGTTTAAAAATGTATTAGCTAATATGTGCTAATGACACACATTTAAACCCTAGTCTAGACAAAGCCTGTGCGACTGCCCTCTGAATGCTTGATGCAATCTGAACACCCTGACAGCAAATCTGATTACCCCATTTTAATCATGAAAGGCTATAAAGGCTATATGAGAGGTATCCAAACCTACCCCATAGTGAAGAACAGGGCTGTGCATGGGATCTAAGCCTCAAAATATCCTCATGGGGTGAGACCTCTGGCCTTGCACAAGCAAGCCTATCTGTGGGGATAAAAAACCAGGCTTTAGCAGACAGAAACGTATCTATGCAGAGGAATCTGTTACACCAGGGTGAAGAAAACAACCCAACAGCAATTCACTTGTGTTACTGCTTTGACATTGGTGATCAGCTCATAGTCTGACAGGAACGGGAGGCAAAAGAGTTCGATTGGAGCAGAGATGTGGCTGTGTGTCTGTATGCTGTAAACTGATCAGTTTAATTCAAGTAACAGGTTTTCTCCACACATTTTAAAGCAAGTTTTGAAATACTGGAAAGGATATTAAAAAAAAGGATGCAATGATTCGAGGAAGAGAAGATAAATGCTTTATTGCAAAACACTTAAAAACTCAATCTGTTTAACTTAGGAGAAAGAATACTGAGAAGTAAATAGACTACAATATATAAATATCTTCACAGGGAGAAAATATGCAGTACTAAAGGATTATTTAATCTTGCAGAGAAAAGCAAACCTGCCTAGAAGAAGCCAGAAAAAATGAAGTTAGGAAGTTAGGACCTAATTTTGACAGCACTAATCTCTGAGAAACTATCAAGCAAAAAAATATCTTTTTAATCAGTTGATAACCTTGATTATGGATGGATGCTTTTATGGCAGGTGTATTTTAATCCACCATATGCTATTGGGATCACTATAGAATTAACAGCGACATGACTAAGACATGAGCAGTCCAAGTGAATGGGTTTTTTAGGCTTCAATGTTATGTGTATAAAAGTACATAAATTGGCAAGAAGTACTTACCAGCCAGAAGTCTGAGCAAATGGTTGTAATATGTCTGTGGTATGATTGCAGGAATGCTGTCTGCTAGGTTTAAAGGAATATATAATTTTTTCCTCTTGCTCCCCCACAAATATCCCTGTTGAAAGGGCATTTGACATTGGAGTCAGCCTATTAAATCTGAACAGGCACAGTGCTACCCAGTGTGAGGCAGAACACTTAATCAAAGGTACTCCTGAGCGTATCTATTTGATTTTGCTTACAAATTCAATGTAATGGGTTTATAAAGTCAGAGTATCTGTACCTTGTAGGCATAATTTCCTGATCTGGCTGCTTTTTCAGTTGACTTACTTGTTCTTGAAACATTCAGTTTTAACTCAGTAAATACATAACTCAGTCAGTTTTTGCTGTCCAAGCAGTCACATACAGAACCAGAAAGAATTTTATGCTGTTTCTACTTTCTTTTTGAGGGAAAAGTTAGGGTGAAAAAGCTGCAGAACCTAGCAGGATAACCAGAGTGACAAGTCCAGGGACAACTTGTACCCTTTCACAAAAAGGGAAAAAAGATTATAAAAGCCTCACACTTTTAATGCTGAACACTGAGATGCATTTGTTAAGTGGAAAAAATGGATGTCAGTTCTTTATCAGACCTGGCTAATTACTGGTATGGGGACCAAAAGAATATCCAAATCCAACTCTTTCCCTTCTTCTCTCTCCAAATCTCCTTCTCCAAATCAACTCATATTATCCCAGAACATTTTTGTCATACTAACACTGACTGTCAAATCCATTCTGATTTTAAATAAAACAATGCTTGCAAGACCAGAATTTTTACTTAAACAAACCACCCAGAATGCTCTTACAACAAATTTTCTAGCTTTAGATTCCATAGCATTTGCTGCACATCATGTGCAGCTAAATGTAGCATGGCTTGATACAGGATTTTCTCTAAATCTCAGTATAGCTGTTCCTTAAGTGAATTTGATGCTCTGACAGTCCTGAACATGCAAGTTTTGCCCTAAACACACACACTTCAATAAACAATTGACTCCACTATGTACAAGGAGATATTAAGAATTTCCTTTTCAGTGATGGGAATAATGTAGTCTTCATCAAACATGATCAAACATAAAACATTTCCTGTGGACATAAAATGTACTTTAACAGAGAGGTTACACTTATCTCCCTTGAATGTGCATGGTTAAATGCACATTTTTCCAAGAGGTTTTGCACAGTGCATCTCTTAATCCTTCTAGTGGGAATCAGATATATTGCAGTAAGAGGCTGGGGCCTCTAAGCTGATGAAAGTCACCCCTGACATCAGTCCAAGACAGTTCAAAGCTGAGGATGGTCTGAAAAGCTCCCCTGGGACAACAGGAGTTCAGGCCAACCTAACTTACAACTCAAATGCCCTCAGCATGTTTGGGCAGTTGAAACCAAATCTTCTGCTCCACTAGTCCCTATTTGAGAAGAGGGGGCGCTGCTATAACTTTCTTCCATAACTTGCAATTGCATACCAGGCTGTTGCTCAATCCCATCTCTTGAGCTCATGGTTAGCCTGATGTGATACCTCTCTTTGGCCCTTTTTCTTGTTTTCCTCCCACTACTGCTGTGAAGATCCTGCTAAGTGTAACTGGCTTTGAGTCTTTGCCAAATGGCCATCTTCCTTCAACCTGACTCAGCTGCAGAAACTTGCTTTAGGTCTTGTGGGGACCTATGAGGATCATCTAATTCAATTACTGACCACATCAAAGCTGACAAAAAGTTAAATTGTGTCATTAAAGGCATTGTGCAAATGTTCATAAACACTGACAGCCTTGGGGTGTTGATCACCTCTCTGGAAGCCTATTCCAGTGTTTGGACACTATCTCAGTAAAGAAATGCTCCCTAATGTCCAGTCTAGGAGGCTTTCCTGTATCAAAAAAATCCTGTCTCAAATCCTGTATCAAAAGCAGCTTTCTCATTATTAATCTTATTGTATTAACTGCAGAACTCCCAGCTGGATACCCCAAGAGTCATCATAGGGACATTTCAGCATCTAAATGATGGAGCCCAACATTTTAATCTTGTTTGCCTCAAAGCACACGAAGTTAAAGCTAGTTCTTGGGCCCAACCTGATACTCATTGAGCATCTCCCTGGATTTCAAGTTCCCAGCTGAGACATTACAATATTACAGGATGCCTACATGCTACTCATACTCAAAGTTTAGATCTTTGGCAGTATCTTAAAGCCAGTGAAGGAGGTTCCCTTTTAACTGATACTATACAAGGACTAAAAAGGTACCCTTCTAAAGCTGTGACAACCTAGACAGTCATGAAAACCCCAATGAAGAAAAGGAAGAAGAAAAATATATGCAAAACAAATATAGTGATTAGGTTACAAGGTTCTGTCAAAAAAATGTTTTCTGACTGGATTTGAAGATGTTTTGTGAGAGAGACAATGATCCAAAGGGAAAGAAAAGGCAGACACAAGAAAAGGAAGGACAGAATATAATGAATAAATATGGCATGGTATATGCTGAGGTGAGTTTTCTCACATCTCTTTTCCCCATCCTAACTGGCATCCACACGCATTTATGTTACAGTACCTAAATGCAAGCTGTCAGACCTAACACATTTTTGCCAGAATTATTCATGAAACTTTATGATCTCAAGAGAGGAAAGAGTTATTACTTGGATTAAACTAGTTAATTTTCATTAACATAACTGGCATATAATTACTAGTTTCACCTGAGTAGCTTATCACAGGCTCTATAGCAACCATAATTGAGATGTACTTGATTTTTTAAATTTTGTGTGTACTGCCTGAAAGCATAATTTTTTTCCCATAATAGATGTGCTAAGCCTCTTTCTTTTCCCCTTTTGTACACAATTAGCATTTCATTTAATATTTCTGTGTTCCAGGTAGATGCCAGAAGAGAAATAGGCCCTAAAGTACCAATCACCAAAAGCCATGTTGGAGAGTTCCTTCACTACTAAATGCATTTAACACTAATTGCTGTTTATTGAAGGACCCGAGTGAAACCTCTCTTTGACATGTATCTGGATACTCCCTGCATGTTTCAGTTTTCCATATTTCCCACTGCTGGTGCTCCACTTCATGGGACCAGCTCTCTTGTGACTGGCTCCTCTGCCTGCACAAGGGTGTGGCAAAGAGGGAGCTGCTTCTTCTGACCCACAGCAGTTCTTACCCAACACAGCAATGAAAATGGGAAATTAGTACGTGTTAATTTTTTACCCATCTGTTTGTTGAAAAAAAAAAATCAAAGGTCCATGCTGGTACTTCCTCTACAAATATTTTAAATTATTTTAATCTTAGCAAATATTGCAAGTTCTTTTTTGATTTATAATACATTTAACAAAGTTATCTGCAATTAATAGTTCAGGTAGGGGAAAGATGTCCAGGAGACTCTTGCTGGATTGATTAAAATTCAATAACATCAGAAGAAATACTTATGCAAACAATATGGTAGAAGTCATATTTATTGATAAAAATTAATATATCTGCTATAAAATTTTTAACAGTAATGCAACTGAATATTTATTTTGATGCATAAACCTGAATGTTACATACCAAATACAATACAGTAACACTGGTTTCCTCCTTATTTACATGTTTATGAAAATTGATATGCAATCCATGTTAAAAGAACTTGTAATGGAGAATAGTTACATTAGAAAAATAATATTCTTGATAAAGCATTCTTGAGGACTCCAATCACATTTTTCAGGCCTCTTTCAATAAGGCAAAAATCCCTGGTACAGCATATAACTTAATTTACAAAATACAATAACTTCAGACACATCTTCAAGTTTTCTTTTGGTATGCTCTTCCTCACTGTAAAATTACTCAATTCTCTTACTAAACAGAAAGAACTTTCTATAACAAAACATAATGAGTTCTATTACATATTACATATAAATCGCTGTAGCTTAGCGACCATAACTGGGCAATCTTTTTCCTTAACTGTTTGCTCAATGAGCTTTTCTTAGATGTAGGACATGTAGTATTTTGAAATCATTATGACTGTGGTAGCTTTCTTCAGTTTTCATAGGAAACAATCTGTCACATTTTGAAACTTTTTAAAAATTTTATTTTATTTTAGAAACTGGTGCACAACTACATTTCCACTCACAAGAGAACGTCACAAATGTAACTAAAATTAGGCTTGGATAACTTTGAAAACATACTACTATGTGCCCAAATCCAAATTTCTTACTTTAATACTTTATAACCCTGCCATGCTCTAGGAATTCTTCTT